CTGAACTGAACTATTTTGTTCAGAAGGGACCTTGATTTCATAGAGATACGCATCTCTATGTTAAGCAAACTCATAACATCTAAATAAAGATTCTTACTGGAATTTTGAAGAGACTGTTTCAGCCTTTACCATCTAAAATCATATCCATTTCCTTCTACTCAGTCACTGGGAACAGCATGGGAGCCTCTTAATGTGTTTGACCTTTTTCCCAAAGAAGTAAGTTAGCAAGCAGCTGTTTAAACTCCTGCTGTTCCATGGCACAATTGAATCATTGGCTTGCCAAAGTCCTGGAATGTTTCAGGGGAAGATTCTTACCCTCACTGAAGGAGAGGTCAAATGCCTCAGCTTTCCTTCCTTTCAGCAGAGCAGCATCACGCTGCTTCCTCTGAAGTCATGTGTAGACAGAATACTTTATACAGAACTACCTATTTTCTTCCCCCCCACCCCGCCTCCTGAAAATATTCCAGATACCCTTGCCTTGTCTTAAAAAAATTCCAAAGAGTCTGAATAATATGTCAAGTCTTTCTAATTAGGATCTCTGATTTAAATTCTGAGTTGTCCTCATGCCTTAATGTAGGTCATTTTAAAATCAATCCTTTAAAATAACAACTTGAAATCTCATGAATAAAAGAAAAATATGGTTAAATTACTTACTTCTGAGCTGAGTGAGCATCATCTGCTTTGAATACATAAAATAACATGTTTTTGTGCAGTAACTGAAATACTTTAGACTCTGAGTTCTCATCTTTGACTTGAGTAACAGTGAATCCTAATAAAGGCTGACTCTCCAAGGCTGCCACATCCTAATTTAAAAATACACAAATGGAGATTGTTTTAGATTGAGACAAAATTCAGATTTGAGAACTCTCGATCTATATATCTCTAATTTAATTTCATTTAAACACATATAAAGCAGTGATAATTCTAGCAACTTACTCGTTTTTCATTTATTCAACAATATTTACTGAGCCACCCCTCCCCACCTACCCCGTGTGCCAGACACTGTATTTGTTTTCGGCATGTTCACATCCATTA